ATCCAGCAAGACCTGAAAATCCCTATCTCCATATTCAAATCAAACAGGTTTTCCTTCAGAAATAGAGATAGTAAAAAATTAGAACAATACAAATTACAAGTTCTGCTTAAAGAAACATACAGAATAGTCAATCTGATTATTGTTTAGTTCAACTACACGCAAAGTTGAATTTTTTTTCAGCATTTCACCAATAGCTTTCGCTCCCTGCAAAGTCCAGATAAACCATTGCCAAAAACATTTTTAGCGATAATTGATCTTAAAGCAGAAAATATATAGCAACTGGACTTTAAATACTAAAAGCATATGCTAACCTCATCTCCTAGGCCGGTGCTGTTTAGCTGGAGCTTTTGAATACCAGAGTTGTTTGCCAGTATATCACATAGACACTGTGAATGTAAATTTTTATTAATGAACTTCAGAATATTACAATTGAACAGCTCATGAATGACAATCTGGAAGAGAAAGACTTGCGGGTTAACTGATATATTCTCTAACAAGTTGTTTGCATAAAGTAATAATTAGAGAAACGAAAACTGCTTCAGATAACCAATTAGCAGCTTCTAAGCATGAAATTTCTGGACTTGAGAGAAACAAATCTGCTAACGGCCTCAGTTTGATGCTTTTCCTTAAGACCAACAAACTCAGGGAATGCAAAAAACTCTGACTCAGACTAACACGATATATGGTAACATATGCACAACCATAAATACCAAATATTCATGTTGATCCTGAAGTGCCTAGAGACACATAAGAAGTACAATAGAAAATATGGGTGCAAACAGGAGTGGCAAACGGGCGGGTCGGATTGGATATGGTTCGGGTCGAAACGGGTAATGAAAAACGGATAAATTATCCGACCCGACCCATGTTTAATACGGATAAAAAACGGGTTAACCGACGGATAATATGGATAACCATATTATCCATGACTTCTTGAATATGAACACTTTTGAGAGAATTCCTAGTGTTCCAAACTTGAGGAACCCCAATTTGAGACTTTACAAATGTAAAAGTTAAACTCATTAGTTATCCATTGATTACCCATTGGTTATCCATTTTCTAAATGGATAATATGGTTCTTATCCATATTTGACCCATTTTTAAAAAGTTCATTATCCAACCCATTTTTTAGTGGATAATATTTTGCCACCCCTAGGTGCAAATATGCATGTTAAATTGGAACGATAGTCAAGCAAGTGTACAGGAAAAGTTAAGATCAGCTTAGTAGCCATCTGTCTTGCAAGAATTTAATGCTTTAAAATTCCACCTATACTATCTGTGCATTACCTTGGCTCCTTCATCTCCAATAGCATTTCCAGATAGGTTAAGAGTCTTTAGTGCAATATTTGATTGCAAGATTCCATCAAAGGCCTTCAATCCTTCGGCAGTTATTCCATTAGCAGCAAAATTCACTTCCTCTGCTGTCTGGAAATAACACGCAAGGAAAGGCAGCGTATGTTGGTAAGAAACCAAGCTTGTTCAAAAAAATTATTCAACGAATAATAATAAGGTTTTCGTTGTTACTTGTCTACATTACAATCNGGAAACATTACCTGATTATATGCTAAACTCTCTGCTAGGAAAATTAGCCCGTCGTCTCCAAAGTTTCGACCTGCCAAACACTAAAATGTTCAACCAAGCAACTTGAAAATTATAATTCCTTAATCAGTAAGTAAACCATGTCTAGTCACAAAACAAAGAAAATGCAGCAAAGATTTGATCATGGTGTCTTGCGCTTAGGGTTGTGGGTGTTTTG